CTAGGCCAGGCCCGCTTGTTGGAAAAGCCATGTCTTGAGGGCGCGGCGGAAAGTAAGGAGATCCGGAATCGTCCGGATCTCGGGGGGTAGTTCGTTCCAGAGGGCAGGGGCACCCACAGAGAAGGCCCTCCCCCTGGGGGTCGCCAGCCGACATTGCTTGGCCGACGGCACCCTGAGGAGACCCACTCTGTGGGAGCGTCTACAATACAAATAGTCTTAGTACGGGTGCAGACAGTCCTCTACTTACGACCAGTCACCAGTGACCACGAAGGTACTTCCATTCCAGTCCCAAAGTTATAACAGTCAGATCACGTGACCACATTTTGAGCCATCGGCCACCAGCCCACATTTAAACCGTGGGCAGCATGTTTTGCCAAAAATAAGTGCTCACTTCTGGGTTTTGCCAAGAAAGCCCCATAGCAAACAATGCATTCGCTTAATGACCACTTAAGGACTGTGGTGATTCGCTTAACCACCACCGTAAACGAGTTTGTAAAATAGGGTTGGTTGCGTGGGTGACTTGCTTTACGACTGCCAGTCTCCATTACGGTTGTAAGTCAAGGACTACCTGTAGTCCTCGAACTACGACGGCGGCTGGGACTGGGGTTTCCATCATTCACCGATGCAGATGTGGGATCTACTCCACAGGCCCAACCCGAACACTCAACCCTCCGCACGACCCTGCAGGGACTTTTGGGGTGGCTTACTAAACGTCGAGAGGTCGGCAATCAGGAAGTAGGTGCCCTCCGGGACAATCGGCTTCATGCCCGCCAAGACCAGGCTCTCCACCAGGAGATCCCGTTTCCGCTGAAGCTCTTTGGGCAGCTGCAGAAAATAGCTGTCGGGCTTGCCGAGGCGCGCCAACTCTTGCTCAAACCCATGGGCCACGGCCTCCTGCTGAAGCAAAGGGCGAAAGAGAGGACGAGGGGGTGGCACGTCAGCCTCGGGGGGGGTGAACCCAGCAAAGTGCAATTTATCAAACAAGCCACGGGAAGTTGGGCTTGTCAGGGAAAGAGGATGGAGGTTTGCAAAATATTAGAAGGGCAGGACTTTGGCCTCTTCTCCCTGGATAATAGATGACAGGCAGATAATAGACAGGTGATAGATAGACGACAGACAATAGACAATATAGGCAATAGACAATAGGTTATAGGTAATAGATGACACATTAAAAAATGGGGGGCGGCTTCCCAAATACTCCGGCAGACAGTTAAAAAGATGATCAAGAAAACTTTGCCCAGATGATCTTAGAGCAGGGATCCCCCAAGGAGTCAATAGTGATTCTCAAGGATCGATAGGACAGTCGACAAGGGATTGATAAATATCTGGGGGTCAAATGGTAGCCAATAAATGACAGAGGGTTGATTAGGATCAATCAATCTTTAGGATCTCTATAGAACTCCATGTCAGTTTCTAGTTAACTAGGATCTATTATCTATTATCCCAAGGAACCGTCACATTGCGAGAATCTGGACGGCTTGTTTCGCTGATGCTTTTAGCCCGCCCTGCAAATGCTGTGAATGGGCTGCCAGGTGAACTTGGGTTGTGGGAATGCCACGCTTCGCGCGGCCCTGTCCACTTACCTGAGCTGCAGTGGCACAATGATAGATCGAATTTTGGTGGACGGTTCTTAGGTGTTTCAAGAGGCGGTCGGGCCCGATGGCCCAGCCAACCTGTCGGGAGGAAAGAGGGTGGATAATTACTTCCCTCGTTTGGAATTTCTTCTTCAGATCTTTAGAGGAGCATCCTCGGCTATTATATTCCTCAGTCGGCAGCTAGTTCTGCCATTTGCAAAAAAAGAGGAAATGTTGATGAGTGGGCCTATGGGTGTGGGGAGTGGGTACAGATAGTCCTCGACGTACAATCGTTTGTTTAGTGACTGTTCGAAGTTACAACGGCACTAAAGCAGTGACTTATGACTCTTTTTCACACGTAGGACCGTTGCAGTATCCCCAGGGTCACGTAACCAAAGTCCAGACGCTTGGCAACTGCTGCCACACCAGATCCCTCACCTTCCATCCCGTGGCACTGAAGGATTTGCCAGCGCTGCCAATGGTCACAGTCCGCTCCCACATTCCTGGCAAACTGGCTGTAAAACAGAGAGGAGAAAAGTGAGGCACCAGTCTGCTCACCCAAGGTATTGTCTGAAAACCGCCACCCTCTCCCGCTGGCTGTGCCCATCCTCCTTCCATATCGCAGGACATCGGACTCCCCAGAATCTTTCCAGGGGACTTGTTATAGAATCAGTGGGGCATTGCAAGAATCTACGTTGGAGGTGGTCCTCGACTTACAATCAAAACCCTAACTGCCATTGCTAAACAAGGTACAAGTCGGTTGCCAATCACCAAGTTGGTTCATCACGTGACTGCAGCGATGCTGCAAATGATCCTAAATGAAGGCCCGTTGTTGAGCACCCAAAATATGATCGTACGACCGGAGAGAGGGAAGGCAGCCATCAAAATTTAGAATCCAGGTCATAAGTAGCCCTGGGGAGGTCCATTGTAACTTTGGATGGTCGTAATTCAAGACTATTTGTACCAACTCAGCTGGACCTTACCAATCCGCACGTGCTCATTTTCGTCGTAAACCAGCCACTCGTAGACCTCATCGCTTAAACAGACCACGTCGTGTCTCACACACAGGTCCGCCAAGTGCATCATCTCATCTCTGCTGAAAACCTGCAGGGCACAAAGAGGCAGGAAGTTGGTCCCCTCTGAAATGCAACTATCACAACAACCCTAGTAGGTAGGCTAGACCTGGCCCAGGCACTCCGATTGTGCTCGGCTTCCAGCTTCTCCATTTTATAAAAAGCGAACAGGTAAAGACTCCAGAAGTTGTGGGTGCTCCAACACTGGAGGTTTTCAAGAAGAGACTGGACAGCCACTGGTCCGAAATGGTATAAGGTCTCCTGCTTGAGCAGGGGGCTGGACTAGAAGACCTCCAAGGTCCCCTCCAGCCCTAGGATTCTATGATTTAAATATCCCCGATGGGCACCTTGCAATACTTCATTACCTTCCCCAAAGGGTTGTTGGGAGAATTCAAAATCAGGACTTTTGTTCGTTGGGTGAACGCCGCCTCCAATTCGGCTGGATCGAGTTGCCAGTCCCGGCTGGATGCCAGCTTTCCACTTTTGGCAACTTTCTGGAGGAGAAAAAAAAAGACCTTGGTGAATGATCTCCAGCCTGGTGCCCTTCAGATTCCTTAATTTAATATAGATCCTTTAAATGAAATTAAAACAGCAGCAGCAACAAAAACGAAGGGGGACCATTTTGTTGCCAAGAATCCGTCACATAAACCCCAGAGGAAGTCTTGGAAAATGCACAGTCTGAGACCACAACACAAAGGATGTATTGCAAGATTGGTAGTCGCCTCACAGGGGAAATCAGGTAAAAATCACAACCAGATGAGTTAATTCTACTGTGTTGTAAAGCTACATTAGCAGAAACTTGCAAGTCTGAAAGTACAAATATTTCTCTGTCTCCTTTGCAGCCTGAAAAATTAGGAGGGATCCCTTCTGATCCTCTTTCTCCACCTGCACCTCCATCCTCTTTCTCCACCCATTGTGCAGCTCTGGGCTGTGCCCTCTCTTATCTGACTGTTCCCTTGGCAGCGCTTCTTTGCCCACTAATCACCAATGCTCTTAAACCTGAAGTGTGCCCTTCCCTTCCTTATTTAGGGGACCCATCGGTGGGCACTCACTCACCAGACGGAGGGGGACAAAGACGGGTTTCCCGCCTGCCATTTTGGTCATGGGTTCATAGCAGTCGAAGTACGGCTCAATTATAATCACCTAGAGAAAACCAAGACGGGATTTGGCACTTAAGTGACTCAAAGACCGGCGTGCTAATCCATGGCAAGGGAATTCCATTAGTTGAAGTCCATACACCCTTAAAAAGGGGCCAGCATGGGGTAAGTAATTGCCGACTTG